GCTGTTACTTTGCCTCCCCAGGTAAACTTAATACTAACAGTCGCTGTTTAAGATTATCTGTCGTCCTCAAAGCAGTTTTATAGATAAGGAGACTGAGGTTCAGAGGGGACCCATGACTGGCTCGTGGTCACACAGGGAGGGAGCGATGGAGCTGGGGCTAGCTCCTAGCACCTAGCTCCTCCGAAAGGTGAGGGAGGGTCTCCTCTGACACTTTTCCTCTAGGAAAATGCACGATGTTCCCCGCCCGCCCTGTCTTCCAGGTAGACAGGTCCCCCGGCTCCCCCTTCCGGCATGCTGCATGGAACGTGTCCGAGGAGGACAGGCGTCTGGCCTCCACCTCTGCCCTAGGCTCACCCGTCTCACTGGGTCTGACAAGCCATGACTGAGAGCTGCGTGCCCCCCCCCCCCCCGCCGTACCCCCGCGGCCTGTGAAGGAGGGACTGGAGTGCCCTTTCCCCCATTTTACTGAGGACGACAGTGGAGGCTCCGAGGGTGAGGAGGGATTTGCCCAAGGTCGCCCAGCTACTGAGGGGTCCACGTGGTGGACGAACCCAGGCGGCCTTCACTCCAGAGCTCGGAGGGCGGCTGCAGACCCTCAAATGCCGAGGGCCTCTCTCCACTTCCTTTCCTGCGCCTGTCCTATCCTCCCCGGCAGGTGAGCCTGCTTCTGACCCCCTTCCCCTCAGATCCCCCGCCTCCTCTCTCGTACGCCCCTGCTGTGTCTGTGCCCGCATCTCCCATCTCTCTCTCCCCTGTCGCCGGGTCTCTTGGAGCCCTGCTGGCCAGGTCGAGTCCGTGCCTTGGGCTGGGCTCCGGGGACCTGCCGTAGCAGACAAGCCTTTGTTCTGGCTCTGCCACCCTCGGGGCTGTGGGGCCACGGGGGCCAGGTTGCTTCACACCCCAGGCTTCATCTGTAAAATGGGGGCAATGATGGCTGCTCTGTGTCCTGGGGTGTTTCGTGGTTGAACGAATCCCCGACAGCTCCTGCTGCTATGCCACCACTACGAGGGGTGATAGCAGCATTTAATGAGCACTTACTATGTTCCCCTGCGCGGTGCTCCCAGAAAACTTCTCTTTCAATAAATGATGCAGAGTCTGGCTAAGTGATGGGGGGGGGGGGGCTAGTTTCTGAGCTTCCTGTTCTCTGCTGTTTCCTCTTCCTCTTCCCCTTCCTC